CAGTCATTTATCATTCCAGGACGAGGAGAAGAAAAAAAAAAAGTCATGCGGGAACAAAAATTTTGACTGGTCAGATTCAGATGGAGCTCATCTGCCAAACTGGGACAAAAGCAAGAGGTGCAGCGTACAAAAACACTCGGTCAAATTTTATTTAACGCGTCCCGTTCAGGAGTTTGGAATGCTTTGGGTTGGACCGGGTCCGCAGGGTCAGGCATGCACAATCGCTTCCAATCCACTTTCACCACAAGCATCCATGCAGTGAGGACCGACGGCTCGTATTCACTGACGCCCCGCAGCACAACCATCAGCTCGCATGCAGCACGACTTCTGCACGCACACAGAACTCAGCCTTTCCACCCTTTACTTCTATGATATCCGACTAAAACTCTGCGCCGCGGAGAAACCGTCACTTTCCTCAACACTCCGACAACAACAGATCGCCCACAAACAACTCGGCTTGGAACAGGAGCCGGTCACGTTCTCTCCTCTGGTAGTTACTTTTTTTCTATTTTTTTTTTCTCCTTCAATAATTTCCAAAACGAAACTGCTATTTTGGTTACTTACTGTCTAATAAGTGGTACAAAAACAAGTTCAACTACAATTACATTAAACTGATTGATACCTACAATATGTAGTGATTGCAGATTTCAGGCCGATGAGCGATCTTTAAAAAGAGCCTCAACATTTCAGATAGTTTTCTTTGTTTTTGTCTGAAATGTTGCTAAATATAGCAATGAAACTGATAAGTTGGCATCTGTGGGGTGACTTCTGTTAACAATGCGCATGTAGATGTGACTTGGTGGCTGGTTTTCAGATCTATGCAGAACTCCCAAAATTAAGAAAATCAAAGCCAATTTATTGGCGCACCCATAATGCAGAATGAAACACTAACGCAGCACCGCTTAGTAAAATATCTGGGTTTCCTTGAGCAAAAATGAATCATTTAAATGACCCAGCTGGATTCTCTACAGCTGGCCCACCTGGGAAAATCTTATTAATAATAACAATGCTGAACACTGGAGTTCCTCAGGGCTGTGTGATTGGTCCACTGCTGACCAGGTTATCATACTGACAGCACTAAAACTCTCCTGCTGATCCACATTAGAGGAGAACCTGACTGCTAAATCAGCGAATGATACCACAGAAGTGACGGAACCGATAAATCAATGTCCAGACACAAGGTTGTTTTATATATATTGGCAGCAGTTTTTGAACACAGATCAGCACTAAAATGATTCCTTTTATATTCTTGCACCTTTGTTATATGTTTTATTCAATTCCCATGATAATACTTTTCCGCTCCAAATTGTTCGTGATTTCAGAGAAACTCTCAAATGTATTTGTCTGCCGTTAGTCGAATTGATAATCTCACCAAGGATATATTTTCTCTACGATAACATAAGTGGTTCAGTAAAGCCCATACCTAGAGACGATGCTGTGAGGCCACATAAGAGTGAAATATGAGGAAAATCTGAAAAAATCATATATTCATAATTATCTTAGACAAGAAAAGAAAAGTAATGTGACTATCAATGGCTTATCCTTAGGTATACACATGATAACAGAAACAGCCATGGATGGGATGAGAGGAATGAACCGTGTTTGAGTGCATCCTATGAGACACTGAACCATGCTTTGTGTCTGTGTGTCTATATATATATATATATAAATAAAATTTCTGATGAGTATGATGTGATGGCAGAAAAGCAGGTAGTGAACTGTAGTTGGGCCACTTACATGGACACATTGGAAGCATACAGGAAACTGACTTCTTCAAAGCGCAGAGTTTTACCCCAGACAGAGAAAAGCACGTTATAACTTTGAACACAGCAAATCCATTTCTACTCTCATTTTCGTCGAGGCTACACATGCACAAAATGGGAAGCCACGACAAAAGCGCTTAGGCGACATCCACTGACATGCACCGAGTGATCGAGTGCGGCACTCCTTTCTAAGTCGTCAGGTTTGTTCAGCCTCTCTAAAAGGGTCTGAGGTCGTCTGGAGGCAACTGCGGTCATGCTGACTGAACAAAGGCACTGATAAAGACGCCTCATTGCTAAAACTAATCCGCCAGAACAAAACAAACATGCAAGGAAAACATCTGCGTCGACACTACGGGTTCCATTAGCGCACGGCTAGCCATGTTAAAACATGAACCATGCACACCAAGGCTTCTTCTGCTAACCGCATGCCAGTGGATAAATAGGACACAGAACTGGCAAAAGGCCACATATAGATACAGGGGCGCCATATAGGGAGGGAAAGTTATGACAATTCTAAGGGCCCCTGACCAACAGGGGGCCCTCCACAATTTTTCAAATATTTTTTGTTCATAGAAATAACAAAAAATGGGGCCCTTTCAATTACAAAATTAATTGTATTGTGTTTTCTAACTGTTTTTAGCAGTGAAAATGAAATGTAACCCCTCCCAGACCAAAAAGCAGACGTCTATATTTGCCCTTAACCCCCTGGATCTTCACAAAATGGTTCGTTGCAGCTTGGAACTTGACTGTGACGGTGTTCAGCAGCGATCAGTAGAAAACAAGAACGAGTGGCTGTTACTATGCTGCTAAGAAAAATAATAAAGTCATGTTTTCAAAAAATAGAGACAGAGAGAGAAAAAGGTAAAAGTGTCAATTTGTAACCCAGTTTTTCTCTGAGAGGTTGTGAGATTATCAACCATTTAGCATAGTTAGCTTGGCTGCAGACTGTTTGCCTCCATTTCTCTAGCATTAATGAATTCAGGAAAGAAATGACCAACATATTCATATATTGAACTTGTCCCTCGTACCTTTTCCTACTTAACAAAAGATGATTAAAAATTAATCTTTGTCATGGGGCCCAAGATTCCTGGCGGCGCCCCTGTATAGATATCACCATACAGTGTCTTGCAAAAGGATTCATACTGATTTATCTTTGCAAACTTTTTTTTAATTTTACGTCTTCAAATTTGAAAACATCAGATTTAAGTGAACGGGTGATTATTAAAAGGCATTTGATGTCATGTCAGCTCTAAACATTTTAAATGATGCTGAAAACTATTAAATTGAAAAATATAGAAAATGTCGGTTTAGAATTTTCCTTTGTTTTCATAAAAAAAAAAAACACATTTTTGCAAGCTTTTTTTTTTTTTTTTAGAAAATGTAATATTTTTCTTTATTCTAAATCCAAATGAGAAATAATTTTTTAAGGGGTGCACCGATCAGGCCTGAATCCCCAAATTTTGGACTGATATTTACTCAGGAAATCTATCTCATGAACCTCTGCAACGGTTTGAAAATCAACTACTATTCCCTATTTAAGAAAAACAAAAAAATGGTATCGGCATAAAATCTGAAAACTACAATGGGTGCAGTCATAATTTTTTGCCATATTTTATAGCAGTTATTTGTAAAATTTGCAAGGTACCCTTTTTGGGTTTTTTTAGATCAAGGAATAATTTTTACAACTAAAAAAGCAACAAAGGATCCTTTGGACTGAACTAAAGTTGCTGAGGTCACGCAACACTTTGCGTTGACCTTTCACATAGACTCAGAATAAGACACGGCGAATAGGTCCGAGTCCAATTGCAAGACACCGTAACTTGAGGCCTGCATTTCAGAGCTTCTGAACTGCAAGACAAATATCCCACTTGTTCCGTCCAAAACGCGCTTCAATTGTGACCGAATCTAAGTGAGAGGAAACGGAAAACAGAAAACGTCCGCAGTTTCTCTTCTCCCTCATGCTGCCGATCGCCCGGCAACGCTACAGACCATCACCATGGGACGCATGCGACGGGGCGACTGAGACACAAACACGCACACACTCTTTTCTTTTTTTGCAGATTTCATGCAGAACCCCACGGGTCAAACAAAAACAGTCCAACATGGGTGAGACTGATGCAGGTTGAAGTGGCTCCGGTGGCATCCGCTCTGCTTGCTGATTGGCTGAAGATGGAGAGGGAGGGGGCGGGGGAGAGGATAGATGGCGAGAGGAGGGGAGGGAATCATGTTGCACCGCAGGATGCAGGTGGCTGCCTCTCTTTCTCAACTGTACTGCAGCAGGAGTTTAAAAAAAAAAAAAGAAAAGAAAAAAAAAGCACCCAGCCTCATCCATCATGCAGGAAGTGAGTCGCACACGCCCACAAGGAGAGAGGGGTGTGAGTGTGTGTGTTTGGGGGGGCGAGGGGGTCCCCGTTGTAAGCCCATGCAGAAATCCCAGCTTAAAGTGGATCAAGTAAGATGGGCTGGGAAAAAAATCTCCTGATTAGGAAACCAAAATCTGCATTCAAACACTCAGCACATGCTTCAGTAAAACAGAAAACACGTAATTGTATCCAAACAAACCTAAAACGAAAAAAATAATAAACAACACACCCATTATAGCCACTGGAAAAGAAACCAGCGTTGCGTAACAGTGAGCATGCGAACGCCAGCATGCTGCTGCTACAATTACCCATTAGCACCAGAAAGAGAGAGAGAGACAGAGAGAGAGAGAGAGGTGAACCCAATGCCACGGAGGAGAAACAAAAGAGCATCCGACTGCAATCTGCCATGCATCATACTTTCACTTTCACCGGGCTCCTCTCTCATGCCCTCCGGTGGCAGCTACACAAACATCATTCCAGCTGCTGTATGGAAAACCGGAACCTCAGCGTGGCTAACGAGGGGAGCGTCGTCGGGAAAACGAAGCCAAGGAGGCCGACAGGTTGACGTGAAAACAAGGCATGCTTTTGCTCTCGTTCTTGCACCCCCACCCCAAAAAAAAAAAAAAAAAAAAAAAAAAAGAATTCCAGCACATTTAATTAAAAAAAAAAGAAAGAAAAAAAAGGGAAGGTGAGGTCTCTTTGGATTTCAAACAAACAGGAAACAGATTGCAGAGGGCTGGGGGAAGTAGGATACCAGTGGGCTGCATCAGAGCATGTCACATAAGGGATGATGGGATGGAGACAGAGAGGCAGAACTGATGGAGGAGCGGAGAGAGAAGATGAAGGAGAGAGAGAAAGAAAAAGAGGAAATTACCTCAATTTTACGGCCCTCCACCAGCGTGCCGTGGAGCTTTTCTCTGGCTTTCTCCGCGTCGGCGCTGTTTTCAAATGTCACAAAGCCGAAACCCTGCGGCACACAGCCAGGTTAGTGAGGATGAGGAAGGGAGAGGAAGGGCGACGGCAGAACGGACCGGGTCCGTTTTTCACTGCTGAAAAACCCCCATTTTATTGCCGTTTTTTTCTCTTTTCTGTTGTTTTACGGCTAAAGGGTCTCAAGGTTTAAAGCGCCCAAACTTTTTGTAACATGAGCCAAAATTGTCAACGAAAGAGAAGCAACACAATCATCTCAAATTTAAATCAAGAATCGATTTGAAAAAACATATTCCGAATGCCATCTCAACACCGTTATACTAAAGCCTGTGATTATAACTGCAACTTTTGCTTGCACACTTTTTCCTTCCACCAAACTTTCCTTCAGCGTTTGGCAACGCCTTCTTAAATCTGCCAACTCAGCAGTTTTTCTCGTGATTGTGTAGGCCATAACTTCATATTTTCCTCTCTGAAATGGATTATTGAAAAACATAACATCTGTTGACAATATCTTCAGTTTGAAGATATAGATGTAAACCAGGGGTGTCAAACTCCAGTCCTCGAGGGCCGGTGTCCTGCAATTTTTAGATGTGCCTCTGCTGCACCACACCTGAATAGAATAATTAGGTGATTAGCAAGGCTCTGGAGAACTGATCTACAGAAGGAGGACGTACTTAGCCATTTCATTCCTGTGTTTTGTACCTGTGGCACATCGAATAACTGCAGGGCAGTGGCCCTCGAAGACTGGAGTTTGACACTCCTGATGTAGATGCTCCACAAAGCACAATCAAACAGAAAGAAGCAGCTTTATTTTATCTGCGCACGTGTACACAGAGACTTTTTGACCGGAGTTCAAAGGTCAGGCAAAGGAACTATCGCTCGATGAGTCTCTCATTATTCTTGCAGCAGCAGTTTATTGTCGCCTTTCTGTTTTAAATAAAAGCAGGCAGATGATGCAACACATTTATTAAAAAAATTTTTGTGTGAATACTGCTGAAGTGTGTGTGGTTTTTTTTTTGTATTTATTTTTTTTAAATCATACAGTGAGAATCTCGGGAGAAAATCAAGTCTGTCAATCAGAGCTCCGGCTGCTTTTTGGCATCGCGTTCACATCAGAATTGATCTCACTCAAACAAAGACAAATCAGAAAAAAGAAACGACTCACCTTTGACCCCCTCTCATTGAAAATAATCTCTACATCCAGAATCTTCCCAAATTGCTGCAAAAACACCAGAAGGCAGAGTTCAGCAAATATAATTGAGCATAATTACACAGCAAAGCCTCTTTGAAGCCTGTTTGGAAGCAGGTGGCTTTCAGCGAGCGTACACTAGGGGTCACTATTACACCAAAGAAAATCTTCAGCATTAAACTTTTGTTTATCTGTTACTTGCTCTGTCCCATTTGCCTCCCCAGGATTTGCGACTCACACTAACACACTGACACAGTTAGAAGCTTGGCCCCTGGATGCATTAGCAGGACCCCCGTGGTCGCCTTCCCCCTTGACCCACTTTGAATCTTTTGCCCACTCAGAAAGCGGTCGTTTCGCCAGAGCGCTCCACCACGCGTCTAGACTGATTTATTGATCTTGTCCGGAGCGGTCCGTACCCCAAACATCTGCCTGAGGTCCGGGTCCCGGAAGCGGAAGGGGATGTTGGAGACGTGGAGGCGCTTGGGGGTCCCCTTGGCCTCCGCGGAGTCTCCCGTTGAGCCGCCCGCTCCCGTGCCTCCTGCAGAACATTGCGCACCCGCCTCGCCCTGAGACGTCTCCTCTGTCTTTCCCTGAAGAGGAATGAGACAGCGTTTTTTTATTTATTTATTTATTTTTTTAAATTGAGATTTAACTTGGAAAATTAACAAAAAGCAGAGAATGAAAGTGAAGTAGAAGGAAACCTTTACACAAACATGGAAATTCATTCCAAAATAGCTAGAATTGAGAAAGACTGGATGGACAGTGTCTGCAAACTCCAAACATTTCTGTCTTAAAGAAGCGGTATTACGTGTTCTCTAGCTACATAGCGTCATTTTACAGCACAATCAAGTAACTACATTAATTCAGTTGTTACAAAAATGCTGTGTTTAACAAAAATGGCTTAAAAAGAAATTTGACTTCCTAATTTAACATCTTGAAATTGGGCATTTGTCTCTTTAAAAAATCCTGCTCTTTCTGAAACTCTGCATTCAGGAAGTTATCACAACATGGCTGTTCAATTAACCCATTAAAGTCTTTTTTTGAAGCGTTTCACTGAGACTTATCTCCTATAACGAGCTCAGCTGATGCATAATTCCACCAGGTGTTTGCTAATTGCAGCTGGCTAGTCTGAAGGAGCTGAGTGGTGGAGTCGTGGAAGTTCGGAGCCTCGGAAAGTGCAGCTCTTGGGGAGGAGCTTCGTCCTTGAAGGCGGAGCTCGGTCCACCCAGGTGTTTTGCACAGGCAATCCTGAGGCAATCCTGATGGTTGCCTCAGGAGATTAAAGGATTTCTCAAACATGCATAAAAGAATCAAAGCAACACTCCAGGTGTGTTTTTGACGAGGGAATAAAGTCATACCATGACGTAAAGCTCAAAAGAGTCAATTTTATGCAAAACTGCCCCTTTAAGCACCTTTTTTTCTTTCTTTTTTTTTTTTTGGGTATTTGTCAGCCTCTAACAGGCATTTTACATTCTAAATAATCTTTTAACTTTATTAACTTGTTTCTTTTTACTTGAATCTGATCAGAGAAGCTAAATTAGTTAAATATTAGTGTGATGGTAAGAAAGGTCTGGGTCCCAAAATGACGACAAAGTATATTTCAATTCCAGTGGGCCATTTTTATTGAGATGCAAATTAAAACCTAAATTTTCCCCCCTAAACCTAATCCCTCTTTTTTATTCTTCCATTACAAATTGAGAGAGAACCATCTCATTTCCTGTCATTAAATTTTATAGGTGAATGAGGAATAGTTTTTCATCCAAATCTGCCAGTACCATTAATGCAATGATAGCTTTCTATGTCGGGCGAAACACGAACATTTTGTTCTCGCCCTGAACAAAGAGCCTTCTGCCACATGCTTCTCACATCCTCGACATGCCTGGTGGTGAAAATAAGTGGGACTTTCTTTCAGAAAAGGCCTTTCTTTATGGCACTTGTGCATAAAAAGAAAGATAATTAGCCGTTGTGTCGACAGTGAATCCCAGCAGCTCCTCCAGTGTCAACTCTGATACCTGCTGTCCTCACCCAGCTGACGGTGCTGTAATCTTTCCTTTGTGTCTTCAGTTGTTCTTTGGGCTTCATGATGATATTTGTAACAGGGCTGCACCGACCGTCTTCTGGCCGATCAGACTCGATATTTAAAGAGTCTGATTTTTTGTTTTGTTTTTGTTAAAAGTCTCTCAGTCAATTAGTTGATAACGGTGGGATGACGATTGTTCAGGTTTGTCACGGTAGAGCAAAAGGAAGACAGTGATTGATTTTCAGACTTTTGTGGCGGGAGGCAATATTGGTGGAAAATGTAGGTTTCTCATGTAAATATTCCGAAATCGCAGATTTCCCAAATTTTTTCTTACATTCTTTGAAATAAATGAGTTTTTTTTTTTTTTTAATAAGACGTAAAGGAAAATCTAAACCATGCCTTTTGGCTAATCGATCTGCCGATTTATTGCTGCACCTCTAGTCTCTGTAATGTTCTGAAACAAGACCTCTGATGCCTACAGACGTATTCAATTTCATATTCAGAACTACTTTATTGATCCCAAAGGGAAATGGCACGCAGGTCGATTTTATTACCTACATTTGGTGACTTCTGGCAGCAACTGACTGTACTGGATTTAATTTAGGGGCAACCGAGTAAAAGCGGTTGGATATGAATGCTCACCATTCACTATATAAAAATTTGAATGAATAAAAAAAAAAACAAAGAAGATGTGGAAACCTTTATAAATGAAATATATACTGGAGGTTTCTGACTGTAGTTCAGACGATGTGGAAAAACTCAGCAGAGTTCTGCATTTCTCTGAAGATCTCGTCCGACATGTCGAGAAACCGATAATCTTCACACCGCTGAGCATGAAAGCAGCGTTTATTTATGTAGTAAACAATTCTGACGCTGAAGCGCAGCACAAAGCGGAGCTGCTTTAGATCTTTATCTGTGCGTGTGTGTGTGCGTGTGTGTGCGTGTGTGTGTGCGCGTGTGCGTGTGTGTGTGTGCGCGTGTGTGTGTGTGCGCGTGTGTGTGCGTGTGTGTGCGTGCGTACGGGGTGAAAAGCAGTGTGCTGTGCTCCATAAACAAATTTCACAGAGCTCAAATTCAAAAGAAAAACGAATAAAAAAAGACAGCGAATGAATGCTGGCATCATGCAAACTGTGCATTTCTCAAATAAAAAGTGGTAGACAGCTTGACTTATTAAAATAGAAAAAATGATAATAACAATGACTTGAGAAAAATGGCTCGGCAGCGAAGCAGCACATCTGAGTTATTTGCTGATGTCGGCACATTAACCCTCCTGTTGTCCTCGGCTTATGTCGACCGAGGACAAGCCCTTAAAAAATATGTTTTTCAATTGCAGCTGCATACAGAAACTTTAATCTAACAGTCCTGCATCAGAACTATGGTGTGCACAACTCAGGGGGAAGTTTAGGCTCAAGCAATCCAAATGTGAACTTTACAAAAGAAATAAAATAACCAAACCCAGCCTCAGGTCAGACTGACCGGAAGACTAAGGAAATCACAGCTGGACAGGCAAACAGTATGGAATGGCATCATTGATCTCCGTAAAACTGATATCTTTTCAAATTTCCCCCCCTCCTGTTGCCCTCGGGTTGACATGACCCGAGGACAAGCCCTTATAAAACATTTTTTTAATTGCAACTGCATACAGAAACTTGAAATCTAACAGTCCTGAATCAGACCTACAGTGTTCACAACTCAGATGGAATTTTCTGCTGCAGCAATTCAAATGTGAACTTGACGAAAAAATAAGAACAACCTCCTCTTGTCTTCGGGTCAAAATGACCCGAAGACAAGAGGAGTTAATATGATGCTGAAACGCTGCTGATGTAACCTGAACCTGTTTCGCCATATTACTGTCATCTGCTGTCGGCTTCCTAAAAGCTAATTTATACCATTAAAGCCAAACTCGGCTCCAGCTGATGGGAAGGGTTATTAGATTTGAGCTTCTTTGGCAATAAAAATAAAACCCTCATTGCATGCCGCTGTAAGTAATTCGACTGTAATGCCATGAAATTTAATTCTCATTCATTTAACCTACACAGATTTTGGATAAAGTAACAAGCCCTGAACAAACAACTACCTATCCGATGGTGAAACACGGTGGCGGCGGCATCGTGCTGTGGGGGACGCTGAACATCCAGCCAGAGCGCCAACAGATCGAAGTGTATTCATGCACTAGAATGGCCCAGTCAAAGTCCAGATTTAAATCCAGCAGTTTAAAAAATCAAATATCCTTCCAGTCAAATACTCTAGACACTTTTTGACAAAACGTACTAAGGGATACTAAATTACATCCAAAATTTAAAAAAAAAAATAAAATATTATGAAAATGTCTTGGACTTTTTTTGTCACCCATGAAACAACTAGATTATTTTAGAAGTCAATTATTCTGACGACTGATCGATTAATCGGATGAAGAAATTGGCAAATTTGACAGATTTTTTATTTGGTCACTCCAGTCTTTTCAAGACAATATTAGAAACTGATTAAAAGATGAGCAATCTATTCCTTTTTTAAACAATAAAATGAACAATTTATTGCCTAAAATTCAAAAACATAGCATTCCTTTAGTGAATTCGAACTCAGTGAAGCTAAAACAGTGCTACTTGAGGAGTTCTGTGTAAAACATGTTTACAGACAAAAGTGCATTTATCTTAAATGCAAAATGTATATGTACGTATATTTGTACAGCTTTGGGTTAATTCATGCTCTGATCAAGTTTTTTCAGCCTACTCTTGTTAGTAATTAATCGATTACTATATTAGTTGACGATTATTTGAATAACCAATTAATCATGATTCAGCCGATGAATTGTCTCCGCCCTAATCTATATAATATACGAGTTTCAATGTCTCAAACTAGTGACAAAAGGTATTCAGCTCTTTCAAGGTGATAATAGTTTTGGGGGATGTACTTGTAAGGGGATTATGAAAACATTTCCTGTCCAATCTCACATATTATTAACGAAGGAGTCCTTACGTTGTTGTTGGCTGCAGTCGTGGCTCCATTAGCACCCGGTCCGACCTCCACTGCACTCTGGCCCGCGGCGGCAAATATGGCTCCCGGACCAAACTCCGTCCCCGGTAGGCCGTTTTGAGGAGGGGGTGGTGGGGGGAAGGTCGTAAAGGGCGGGGCTACTAAACCCTCCTGTCCTCCGGTTGAGTCCTGGGAGCCCTGAAGGATTAGGGAAGAGGGTGAGCGGGTAAGGAGGGAGATTGAGAGAAATTAACAATTATTCTCCGTTCACAGAGTATCGGCAAAAAGAGGAGGGGTAAAATTCTTGGCATCAAATTTCACACTCGCTCTCCGTCCCTTCCCTTTATTCCCTGTGAATATTCCCCTCCCCCACCCTGACTCTATACCTCCATATCTCTGACAGGCCTGTGTTTTCAGTCAGCCAACCATGAAATATTTACAGCAAACCCATCTATTATTAAGAGTCGTAAAATTTGATATAGTTTGAAATACAAAGATGTTTTCGGGGTGGATGGAGGTGAGGAGGGGGATAAAAAAAAAAAATCAAATGTATATCATAAAATACAGCGACGCATTAAGTGACGGTTTCAAAGCCGGCGCTGTGCTCTTGTGTCTGCGTTTTCCCGCTTGACTTTTAAAGCAGAAAATAACACTGCGGGCTAAATATACGTGTATCCTGTCAGCAGAGCTGGATCTGTATCTGCAGCTGGATGAGCTGCAGATTACAACAAAACCAATTTGCCAGCGTGTGGTGACTCTGCACCGCTGCTAGACGAAATCATTTTTCACACCCAAGGGCATCTCGGACCAAGCTGTATGAGAGACAGCTTTACAGGAAAGAAAGAAAAGGAAATGTTAATAGAGAACAAAACGAAGAGGGGAAAAAAGCATTTTAAACCAGAACCCCCCCAACCCCCCAAAAAAAATCTCTCTCTCTCTCTTATATATATATACATACACACATACATACATACATACATACATACATACATACATACATACATACATACATACATACATACATACATACATACATATATTTTTTCTTAAGAGTTAAGAGTCAACTTCGGGTTACACAATCATACCAGTAAAGAGCAACTTTAGGAGCAAACAGCCTTCACAGTACTCAGATATGAATTTTGATTATGAATTATGAATAAAATTTAAGACTCGCATCATGATAGAAATGTGCAAAAATAAAATTGCAAATAAATGAAAGGGACAAGTAGGAGAGCCAACAGCGAACACCAACATTGTCCAGCCAACTGGCGATCAATTTGCACTTACCCTGTGTAGATGTAAAATATCTAGCTAACTAGTTAGCTAGCCTAGCTTGCTAGCTAGCGAGAATATATTAGCCGCTGCTTACAGGTAGCAACAATTGCTGTGAGAGCAGAAAAGAAGTCTGAGCGTGACTCAAACTTTTGTGTGAAAAATCAAAGCTACATAGAATATACAAGATTAAGAAATCACAACAAAAACATAAGACCTGTGATTAACACAGATAAAAGTTCAACAATCTCTTTTACAACAGTGTCCTGACATTGCATGTAAGAGCACCTTTTTTTCTGCCACGAATTCAAGATATTTTGGGCTTCAGATTTAGATACATGAATCTAAATCTGAACATTTTATGGATGTTCAGAGACGGTGCATATTCCTAGAGGAATGCGTTTATATCGCACTCTACGTTATAAATAGAATCTTTGCTAACTAATCATAATAGTATATATACTATTCCCGAAGAGCCCGTGGTGATGTCGCGTGAACCAGCGACTGGCCCTCTGCCACGGGTTGTATCTGGGCTGGCTGACGCCCGGAGACACTGCGTCTCCAGACAGCCGTTTTAATTAGCCGGAGTAACTAAGATGCCGCAACGCGACTGGCCGGGCTCTCCCTCTAATCCTATAGCCTGACAGCTCGGCGCTCTGCTGCAGTGACGGGCGCTCTGGCAGTAAGCAGGCATCCAAGGCCAAAAGGCCCATCTGCAGCACAGACGGCTTCTGGGGCCTGAGCCCGACAGATAGGGGATGTCGCACAATCCGGACGAGCGCGAGATGGGAAGCGCCGGGGGGAGAAAAAAACCTGTGCTGCTGCATCTTATTGTACGTGTTTATTGTCACCAACCGATGGAAATGGAAACAATAAATCTGTTCAAAGAGATAAATACAAAAGTGATTCGCTGCCTGGGCTTCTGTGATTCCCTGGATGAGCGCACTTGTTAAGACATGCGAGCTCGTGAGCGTGCGGTAGCCTGTCTGAAGCCACCCAAAAGGGCGCGTCTTACAGGCACAGCCTCGCTCGGGGCTTCATTGCATACAGCACACAAAGTGCCGGGCAGAAGGAAGGAAAACAGGATGAATGAAATATTGAGTGGTGAAAAAAAGAAAAAAAAAGAGGAGGCTGAGTGCAGGGAGAGAAGACTTTATTGACCGCGATGCTGCAATCTAGACTCTGATTATCCACTTGCATCATGAGGCTGATTTAACAGCGTGGGGTTCATTTTCTACACCGCCTTAAAGAAGCATCAACACCCCTTTAACTTTTTCTCCCGCATTTTCTTCCCTCAGTCGTATTTTGTTGGCATTTTATGCCAAAATAGTTCAAATTAAGTCAAACTGGATGGAGAATGCCTCATTTTTTTTAAACTCTTGCAAAATGTGGTTCAGAACCACACTTTGACTGGGTCATCGTAACATGACTATATTTTGAATCAAATCATTTTGTTGGAGCTCTGGCTGTCCCGTTGGAGGGTCTCAAGTCTAATGGCCACTCTTACAGAAAGGCCAAATCTTAGGATTGCATAACTAATAGTAAGATTTTACCCTTGATTAAAATTGCTACAGTGTTGCGGAGTTAACTGAACCATGTGCCGTTATCTAAAGCAAAAAACACATAGCAATTATTATATCTGCTAATATTGCAGTTACGATCAGTGGTGGGTGCTCTTCTGCCAACACGGAGCTAACTTTCGGTATTGTCAACTTTCAAAAACAATCGACGCACTTAGAGTTCCCTAAATGAATTTTTCCGGAATAAGTTTTGGTTCTCGACCACTAACAATTCTTCAACTAGATAGACAAGCTCTTGTTTTGAAGTGGGAGAAGTCTGTTCCACTTCCTTTCTTTTTTCACCAATAATTTTACACCTAAAAAAAACAGTAGAGAACAACATGTAAACATTAATACAACATCTATTTGATTTGAAGTTAGCGCTTTAGCATTAGCTCAATTAGTGTAGCACTTTAGTGTTAGTGTAATTAAAGTTTAGAATTGGCGCTTTAACTAAGCTAACAGTGCCCGCCTCTGGCTACAATAATGTTGCAAACGACGTTAATTCCGACTATTTCATTTAAGACAAATGTAGAAAATCCTTAAGATTTTTTCAATAGTTTTGGGAGATTTATTTGAAAACAAAAACACACAATACTAGAGGACTAAACCAAAATATGAGAGTTGTGGAGCTGGAGATGAGATTGCTTCTTGGTGTTTTGCTCTTTATAGAGGAACATATTAAATCACAATGAGCTGATATTAGCCGCCTGAAAATCTTTACTGCAGTAACGAGCTGTGCTCCTTCAGTTTCCATGCCATGACTTTCCAAACAGCCGACTGTGTTGCTTCTGGCCAACAGAAATCAGACTGATTGTAGTGCGGCGGCCAGGAACAATCCGTTCCCTACAAATCCTTCTCTAGAATCTTCTTTTAAAAAGACTTTAGATGCAGAAATTGTTCGACTGAATATTGAAGAGCGTTTGAAACAGTGGCATGCCGTCGTAACCTGCAACTAACCCATACCTACTTGACACGTTCTCCCTCTAGGGGTATGGATCTCGGCAGCTCCTCCAGAGTTACCTGGGGATTCAATTACATACCGTTTTACCAAACAGGGATGGAAATTTATCGTTTATTGTGATAAATTCCATATTGTGATAACGATGATTGATCGTTGTCTCAATAAATTCCAAAGAATTACTTCTTTTTTTTCTTTTTAAATGGTCCGTTTCGTGTTTTGCTTTTTAAAAATTTTTCTACGATGTTTGTTCAGTGAGAGCATGTGCAGGGTAGTGATACTAATCACAATTTTTTATGCGATTGATGTATTAAAGATACAAATGGGAATGTTGAGCTGCATTTGTGTTTATGTGACTATGATGCAGTCACAGCTACTACCTAAAAGAAAGTAGTAATAAAAACAATTCTTATTATCACAATAATTGCGCAAAAAATGGCGTCAATAATTGCGCAAAATATGGCAATAAAATGGTAAGTTCATGTTGCCCATTTATTTAAGAATCAAAGTAAAGACGGCTGGATACAAATGCATTAAAAAAAGCATATTCTTGGTTTCACTTCATAATTATAGTTAAACAAAACTTTGTGTTGGTTTAATTGTAGAAATTTCAGAGAAAATGTAACACCAGAAATCTCTGTTGGCACCGTATCGTTGAGTCGCAGATTGTTTTTTTTATGCTAAAATATCTTAATCCCTCAACACCCAAAAATATAAACAAGCCTGATGATGTCATAATAATAATAACAATAATAATGAGACAGACTGAAATCAGCACAGCAGTTGCTGACTAAGGAGCTGCTCGCTTCCACATGGCACGATCATATGGTCCAACAGAGAGGGGGAGAAAATGGAAACAAGAAAAAAAGAAGTATGATGGGAATCATAAAAGTGAGGCCTAAGAGTGGGGCCATATAGGAAATGATGAGGAATTCCTTTTTGGAGTTATAGCTGGCCTGAAAACATCAACAACAAAAACGTTCCACTGTGAATTCTGACACTCTGAGATGTGATTTAAGCAGACGGCACGAAAATCAAGCTGAGCCGATGTGACAGAGAAGATCGCGTTGTCAGGCGAAAGGTTGTTTTCTGGCAACATGACACGGGCATAACAAAAAGTTTAAAAAAACCCAAAAAGAAACATTAAAAAAAAAAAATCAGAGGGGAAAGCGCATTCATTGAAGCACTCCAGTCATGCACACACAGAAATGCGCAGCAGCTGAGCTACCTGTGACACCATATGGCTTTCCGTACACACAGAGCGAGGCGAGGTGGGGGCGGGAGGCCTTCTCGCCTCCAACTCCAGCCTCCTAAAGCGCAGACAGAACTGTCAGCCATGTAGTGAAGCTGCTGAAGCTCATCAATCACAGTAATACATGATAATTAGACTAGTGGAACCGACTGCC